AACTCTAGTACTGAATATAACCTCTTTGGGGAGGGGGGGGGGACATCATTACCTCAAACAAGAGCTGTGCCAATTCGACTTTACTATTCGACATCCATGATTTTTGCACTATTCACAGCTATTCGAAGCGTAGCAGAGCCATTCGAATGCCGTGTGATTTTTAAAAAACAACAGATAATGGATTTTCGTCTCATTTTTCTCAAACTCAAATGTAGAAAAATTAGAGCACATTATACCTAAAATCATTAAGATGAATATACAGAAATACTCTTTATTTGATTGTTACGAGACAGAGTGAAAAGAGGATCCTACAAGAGTTATAAAACAATCCTTTAGAGAATATCTCTTACTATTCAATATTCACTCGTCACTCTTGAAGCGCAGCGAATGTTTTTTTCATGAAGTTAGCTGTGGCAATGAGCCCCACTAACCCTACTCGAAATTTTGAGCGCTATGAACGGTGATGTGATGTCAACACGTTGCACTGTCTACGACAACCACACACGCACGCTCTGTGACTGGGGTTGAACAGCGCAATTCAGATCTAGACTATAACAATTTAAGAAAGACGATTCGACAGGGCTTCGAATAGCGAAAGTTAGATCTTGTCTTATCACATATAAGAAAATACGATTCGAAGGCGCTTCGAATTACGAAAGTTAGAACTTGTCTTATCACATATAAGAAAAAACCATTCGACGGCGCTGTGTATAGCGAGTGAATGTAGAATAGCAGCACATAGGTCTGGGTTTATGCTTATCATAATATACAAGAAAAAAACAACATTCAACGGAGGTATTCGAATGTCATGAATAGTGAGCTCACGGTTCGAAGCTTCGATGATTTATTGTTTATTCAAAATCGCACAGCACTACCACAAACTCTAGTACTAAATATAACCTCTTTGGGGGGGGGGGCATCATTGCCACAAACTCTAGTACTAAATATAACCTCGTTGCCTCAAATCTCAGACACTTATAGTTATAGCTGGTGCACCAGGAACGCGTCGCTGGCTAATGAGAGCATGACAATGTGTGGATTGGATGATGTGGGCAGCTATGTCGGCGCTGTCCTACCAGGGATTTACTTCCTACTCACCAACATCATGCTACTCAACCTGCTTATAGCCATGTTCAAGTGAGTCGATGTGTGTGTGTGTGTGTGTGTGTGTGTGTGTGAGAGAGAGAGAGAGAGAGAGAGAGAGAGAGAGAGAGTCGATGTGTGTGTGTGAGTGTGTGTGTTTTTGTGTTAGTGTATCTTTTTGTGTATGTGTGTTTGTGTGTGTATTTGTGTGTGTATGTGTGCTTGAGTGTGTGTGTGTGTGTGTGTGTGTGTGTGTGTGTGTGTGTGTGTGTGTGTGTTTGAGCGTGTGTGCACACACGTGTGTGTGATGTTTGTGTATGTCTGTTTGTGTATGTGTGTTAGTGTGTGTATTTGTGTGTGTCTGTGTACGTATGTGTGTGTCCATATGTGTGTGTATTTGTGTGTGCTTGTGTATGTGTGTTTGGGCATGTGTGTGTTTGTTTGTGTGTCTATTTGTGAGTGTGTCTGTATGCATGTGTGTCTGTATGTGTGTGCGTTTGTGTGTGTGCGTGCGTGTGTGTGCGTGTGTGTGTGTGTTTGTGTGTGTGAGTTTGTTTGTGTGTTTGTGTATGTGTGTTTGAGTATTTATGTGTGTGCGTGTGTGTCTATGTGCGTGCGTATGTGTGTGTGTATTTGTGTGAGTGTGTGTGTGTGTGTATTTGTGGGTGTGGGTGTGTGTTTGTGTGTGTGCTTGCGTGTGTGTGTGTGTGTGCGTGTGTGTGTGCGTGTGTATGTGTTTGTACGTGTGTATTTTTGTGTGTTTGTTTCTTCTTTCCTATCAAACATCTATCGTCATTATCTCTCCTCCTTCTTTTTTATGTTTTGTTACTTTCCTGTAACACCTCTAACTTTTGGCGCTCGTATGACCTTATACAGTTGCGAGTGCCGTGAAACCTCTACTAAAACAAACAATTGTTTGTTTGCGTGTGCGTGTGTTTGTGTGTGTGTGTGTGTGTGTTTGTGTATGTGCATGTGTGTATGTGCATGTGTGCATGTGCATGTGTGTGTGTGTGTTTGTGTTCATGTGTATGTGTTTTTGTGTGTGTATTATTGTGTGTGTTTGAGTATGTGCACGTGTGTGTAAGTGTGTGTTTGTGAATGTTTGTGTGTGTGGGAGGGGAGGGTCACATTTATTATTTTGTTTGATATTATTTATTTGTTTGTTAATTTATTCATTTGTTTATGTTTGTATGTTTTTTGTTATAATGTTTTTGGCGGGGGGAGGGGGGGATTAGTGCAAGTTTATGTAACCCAAAAGGTTCGTACAAGTTTGTGTGTGTGTGTGT